ACCACAGAAAATTTGTGCACGTAGGTGAAACTAGCGGCGGGGGCTGCTTCGTTAAAAGTCACTTCCTGTTGCCAGCAGGTGGCGCTATGACTGTGGGTGAATGTCGGCATGTACATGTGTTCAGGGCGGGACTCTCATCCTACATGTACACTTTGGTCCAGATGTGAGCATGTACACTGAAGTTACGACAACTTCCTGTGTCATGGCGAAGAGTTGATCTTTGACGCCACGCCACGGACACGCCCATTGACAAAAACTTTCAAATAGCACAACTTTTCATCTTCAATGCCTTTAGAAGGCACAGCAGAAATTTGAGGTCGGTCGGACTACATCCCTAGGAGGAGTTTGTTAAAGTACGAAGTGTGTAAATCATCCAAAATTTGACGTAAAATTCAAAATGGCCGACTTTCTGTTGGGTTTAGGCTATGGCTCCAAGAGACTTTTTGTGCATCTGGACAAGATACACGTACCACAGAAAATTTGTGAACGTAGGTGAAACTAGCGGCGGGGGCTGCTTCGTTAAAAGTCACTTCCTGTTGCCAGCAGGTGGCGCTATGACTGTGGGTGAATGTCGGCATGTACATGTGTTCAGGGCGGGACTCTCATCCTACATGTACACTTTGGTCCAGATGTGAGCATATACACTGAAGTTACAATAACTTCCTGTGTCATGGCGAAGAGTTGATCTTTGACGCCACGCCACGGAGACGCCCATTGACACAGCAGAAATTTGAGGTCGGTCGGACTAAATCCCTAGGAGGAGTTCGTTAAAGTACAAAGTGTGTAAATCATCCAAAAATGGCCGTAAAATTCAAAATGGCCGACTTCCTGTTGACTTTAGGCTATGGGTTCTTGAGGCTTTTTTGTGCGTCTTGATATGATACATGTCCCCAGAAAATTTCGTACATGTAGGTTGAACATGAACGAGGGGCTAATCTTTTCCAATTTTCTAGGTGGTGCTAGCGAGTCATTTTGCCACGCCCATGTGCGAAACTTGTAGAATATTCACCAAAATTGCAAATTTTGGTGAGTTTTTGAGTATGTTTAGGCCATGTCATTTGAGCCTACTTTGCAGAAAAAAAGAAGACAAAAAAAAAATATATATATATATATATATATATATATATATATATATAATCTTAGCAAATTCAATAGGGACCTCGCACGGTCGTGCTCGGGCCCTAAATATAATCTTAGCAAATTCAATAGGGACCTTACACGGTCGTGCTTGGGCCCTAATAAATATATATAATCTTAGCAAATTCAACAGGGACCTCGCACGGTCGTGCTCGGGCCCTAAAAATAATCTTAGCAAATTCAATAGGGACCTCACACGGTCGTGCTCGGGCCCTAATCATACTCTTGATCTGCTCTCATACAGTGTTTAGATTTGTTTTTGTTTCAGTCTTTTTTGTTAGCAACAAGTGACTTGCTTAGCACAGTAGGCTGTGCCCTATGCATGTGTTATTTAAAAAAAAACACACTGATGTGTTCCTTAGGTAAAATCAAATAAAGAAACCACTAAAGTCTGTTATGATAAATTGCTATAGGTAACAAGTTAGTGTTGAGCTAATATTTCTAACAAATGTCTAATTTAAATGCACTCTCAGTTTAAAGTGTTAAAGTCATCGCAGGTTTCATCAAATACGTTAACGTCAGGGACAAACAATAACACTCAGAAATCTGCAAAGTATATCTATGGCCAAAATTGTAATTTAAGAGTTTATACGTTTTTAATTGAGTGCACGAATGAACTCACCTGTGACTCCGACACTTTTTCCTTCTGCTGCTACTGCTTCTTCTCTTGATTAAGACCGGATTGCAAACAACGTTTAGGTGCATAGCGCCATCTACTGTACAGGAGTGTGTAACACACACATTCGCAATTTCCATTTTCACACTTGAAACTACGTTTAAAACAATCTTTCTACCAGATTGCTGGAATAGCATTATAATAGCATTATCATTAGCATGACAGTCTTCATTCATCAGTTCAAAAACACCCAAGAACGAGGTAGAAACGAGGTAGGGAACAAGACGCGAGCTTTTATTTTAAAATGTAGAAACTAGCGGAAGGCACCAGGCTGGAGGGCATGAGACGAGAGGGCATGAGATGGGAGGCTCCAAGCTGCAGCCATACCAGAGATGATATGAGAAGGATTAAGGATTCCTATTAAGGAACTGTTTTGGTAAAAGGTCAAAGTTCACAGAAATTATAATTGTATGAATTTTCGCTGTTGGAGGGATTTTTAGAGTGCAATATCTCATAGCTCCTACAGTAAAACCTTATGATATCTGTACCAGTGATAGTAGAGGACACTAGTAAGGAGAAGCCATGACAATACTGAACTAACTGCTGAGGACTTACGCTGGTGAAAGGTCGAATTTCATATAAATTATGTTCACAAAATAACAAAGAAAAGGTACCTTTTGTATTTGCATCAATAACAAATAATAATAAATTATACTACTATTATCATTATTGTTATTAGTAATATTATTATATTTATATGTGTGAGTGTGAGCGTGAGTGGTCTATGTCTATGTGTGGCCTTGCGATGGACTGGCGACCTGTCCAGGGTGTACGCCTTTCATCCGATACCAGATGGGATTGGCTCCAGCCCCCCGCGACCCTGTATGCAGGATAAGCGGTTGACGATGAATGGATGGATGGATAATCAGAGCATCACAAAAAATGCGTATGTATCTTTCAGGACCTTCGGCTCACTCGCACCTCGTCCTTACCATAATAACACTGCTTCAGGCGCAACAGAAATCAGACGGCGGCTGACCTGACCACGGTTTTGCATTTGGCGGCTCGCGTTACCGCAGTACAAAACGCACCAAAACGGTCAATTCATTTAAACAGTGGTGCCTTGGACATCCTGTTGTGTACGCAAGCCCACTGCACTTCCCTGTCTTTTTAACACGTCAGTATTTATACACGTTACTGCTGACTGACACACCTCACACAACCACCAAACTGGAGAAAACATACGCCCCTTGCGTAACGTTGCACACCGTTTCGAGGAAACATGTAGTTCAATCCGGAAACCGTAGCAATGCGGTTCAAAATGTTTGAGATTGAACTTGCAACCGACGCTAATGTTTGGCTTCCATCTGTGCAGTAGGCCTACAGCGTTGTTGCTGTGAAGTTGGCCAATTATCATGCCAGGCCCTCAAGCCTACCTGAAGCGTTCACTCTCTTCGCTGATGCATTATGTAGAGCACACTTTAGACATAAGGTAGGCTAAGTTTGGGATACACTTTATATTTTCTTCAATTATGTAGTTAACTTTGTCTAGAAGGTTGGTCTCTTAATCGTTGGTACATTCAGAAATATACATAATAGGCTACATCTAATAGTGAACTTTTCGCAAACAGCCGCTGACTCTGCCCATAGATGGTAAGCTGGTCTTCGCCAAACAGACTTTTCTAATGTGGTCTTGAAAAAATCCCAAGCTTCTGACTGTGTTCGGTCAGAAGTGTTCTTGGCTGGACGTACAGATGTTGAACCTGCCATGGTCATACATGTGATGTCCAAATGTGAGCCTGGATGTAGGCTACTGACCTGAAGTGGATATTACCTGAACATCCATGCAATGATGAATGTTTGCTGGGAAAATAAGGACTGATGACAAACCTCATTTAACCCTAACAATAGCCAGGTCAAAACAAATTAAACTGCTTCTTGATTCTGTGGGCATACACAAACAGAAGCTAACTTTCTTTCAGATGCCATCTACATACTTAAATAGATCAACCCCTTAGAACCTCTAGCTGCTGCCTACTGCACTGCTGTTGGATTCATAGTACTCTTTTGGTTGCACCCTTGCACTCTGTCAGAAAGTGGGCTGCATTTCTCTCAATATGCAAGAGAGCTTCTCTGGCTCTTGTTTGTTTATAAAAAGCAGTCCAAACAGACTCCTTTTTTCATTTAACCACTCACAGCATGGGCTTATGAAACTTGCTCTGCAGTCTGACTCTAGATGCAGGCCCCAACAATAAAAACTGAACCTGGAATGTCTTTTTCTCATACACTTTTCTCCCACCCCCACAAATGATTTAAGATAAATTTATGTTAACAGATTTTTAAACATGATACTCTGTTGATTCTTGAACTCTCGTGCGGATGATTAATCTCTACTGTGTTTTATTGGTGGCACTAGATACGATGCTTAAATTGCTGGTGGTGTACACTTGAACTCATATTCAATAACTTTGAATGTAAATAAGGTCTGCAATAGAGTATACACACTAGCTACGTATAACTAATGTCCTAAACAGTCCTGCAATAAATCCTGCCTTCATGAAGGATATAATGTTCAGTTCTTGTTGAAATAGTTTTACAGAGGTGTTGATTCAATTATGATCATTTTAGAGCTGTAGGTTGTGGTGCTGTATTGGACTGTATTGTATTTTACCTAGAGGGGTTTCTGTTCTGTCAACAGTAAATTGACAGTTAAGCAAATTTTTAAAAGCTACCCTACTAGAAATGGGGTTTCAGTTTTCAACATGTTGTAATGTTATTTATCCAATAGATGGCAGGGTTGGGATATATTTAATGTTTGCAAGATCAGGATTTTGCAATATTCCTCTTAAATCTGGGACAACATGATCCGATATCATAATTATGTATTTTATGTACTGATATAAAAAGCAAACAAGTTCAGCCTCATACAGAATAGCAGAAATTGTGATACGACACTTCATCCAGATTCAATGGCTTTTTTAAAAAAGGTTTGAAAGTATCACAGATAACCATTGCTCACCATTAATCAGTAACAAAGCATCTGTTACTGTATCTGGATATGTCTGTGTCGAACAACAAGAATCCTGAAGCTTTTTAATGGGTTTGTGGATGAAAAGAAGAATAATTGATAACAGTCAATTTGATCATGTCTAGATATTTGCACTATCAATATCCCTTAACAAGAACTCAAATGAGTGAAATATAAGTGTGCTGCAAATACAATAATAACAAGTTATAATTCACATGGTTCTGTTTTAAAATTCAAACTGCTTTATTGAATTTTAAAAATCACATATCACAGTATTTAAGTTCAAAGCAATTAAAATGTCTCAACTTTGTGACATCCAGTGACAGGTTTAATTTAGACCTGATATATGAACTCAGTCAACAACATAAATTCACACACAGAATTACAATTTTCACAGATTTATAAACAGCATCTACAAAAGTGTGTTCACACGCATAACTTTTATTTAGTTTGTGGTTATTATATTCCCAGAATACATTTTAAAATTAAATTTTAACAGCCTTTATATTGAGGTTGTTTCTCTTTATCCAAAAAGTAAGTGATTAACCCAGTAACCAAGATTAATCATATACTTTATCAGCTGATAAGGTTGTTTTTGTTCCAACACTCCTACCTGCATGGGTGGTATCAGGACAAAGCTTTTAAGTACAGAGGAGTACAGGATATTTTGTTAAAAAGGAACTTACAAAGTGTCTCTCAGAAAAAAAAGAAAAAAAAAAGATCCCTGAAGCCTGAAAATATGGGCATCCATTTCTCTGAAAGCTGGTATCAGATGAGCATGAAACAAAAAAACCTGTCTGAGATGGTGAAGATATAAGTGTTGCTTTGGCAATGAAGATGCATACTGGTGCCAACAGTTACATAAACACAGTCTGTCACGGTACGCAGAGGAACACAAACATTTGTATCTGATTTTTACCACATACTATTTTGCAATAGCAAGCAAGTGACACGGGAAAATCATGTGTGACATGGAAGTGCAACCAGCATCTATCTAGTGAACTTTCTTGGTGGTTATAAAAAGGATATGAAATTTGTGGGGGTGGCATGTTTTCAGGACAGTGGGGTGGGGGTGGTAATGTGCTATTATATATTATATCACTAGATTATTATTACGCGTGCATTTATGATCATTCATTATGGATTAATATGCTGATTATTTTCTCTATTAAATCAAAAATATTGAGAAATCACAATTACCCCGAGCCCAAAGTAAGCCCTTTCACATAGCTTGTTTTGCCCAAAAGTTCTAATATTCTAAAATATTCAAAAATAAATTTAAATTTAAAAGTAACTAAAGCTGTCAGATAAATGTAGCCAAGTAAAAAGCACAATATTTACCTCTAAAATGTAGTGGAGTAGAAGTATAAAATACCTCAACTAACAAGTACAGTACTTGAGTAAATGTACTTAGTTACATTCCACCACTGCAGACAGATTCTAACGCATCTCATCTCATATCATTTTAGTGACCAATGTGTTTATTGTGTTTATTTTGAGTCAATCCTACCTGGTGCTACAAATACTTACTAGCACAACAAATGCCTAATCATCTGACTGAAAACAGATAAACTTTTTACTCCTGTCTGAGTATTGTTTGCTAAAAGGGAATATTTGAAGCTCTTTCATTATTATTTTTATTGTTATGATGATTAAACTACAGTAACACAGTTCCACAGACAGGTTAGGACTGTCAAAAAGGACTGAGATAGACTAGTGCATTGCTGCTTTTAGTCTTTTCATGGGATTTGTTGACAGTAAGAAAAACAATGTCAAATGCTGTTTTTTTAACACCTTCACAAAGCTTACATCGGAGCAAATAGCTACATTTCCCTGGTATACACACATGGAGACAGTCAGACAAACACACTGTACATACAAAACTCCCTGTCCATATCCCAACAATAGGATTTTACATTTTCCTTATAATGCTGACATAATATGAAAAAAGGAAGTGATAAGGAAGGCCACTTATGCCAAGCTGCCTAGGCTAACAGTTACTGTGTGGACTAAATAAAGACACAATTGGGTTTTTGATAATGTTACATACTGCTTCCAATGTGGTTGTCAGAGCCTTAAGGTCACCGGAACCTGAATACGACTCCCTGGCTTTTAGCTGTCACTGATTCAAAATCAGTCAATATCTTCAATCTTTTAGATTTACACTTGATTTAAGGGTGTTTACTTAGTAAGCTTAGGTGAATGAAGCGTTCACACTTCCTCTGATAGACCACAGTAAATCAAGTTATTCCTGGTTATATACACCGCTGTATGCAGAAGGAAAAGTGCAGTTAAAGAGCGGAATTTAGCAAACGAGGAAGTGTTGATTTCAGAAGTTTCTGGTAAGTTGGCACATACACGTGACACACAGTATCTCCTACAGAGAGAGAGTGAGAGAGCTTTTAGATAGCTGACATTGTCATGTAGACCGCCAATATGCACATAATGAAATGGAGGTGAAAGTGATCTCCTCAATTGTTTGCTTGGAGTATTATAATTACCTCAGGCCAGCCTGTCTTGGTACTTTGTCTCCTGATCACTTCCTGGAAAAAAAAAATTTAATATCAAAGTCTTAATTAGATCTTTTAGAGTGCATTTGACACAACTTAACAAGTACAACTACTGTAATTTTGACATACCTTCCTCAACATCTAACTCGTGTGTACAGACCTCTTGATGGCCACCTGGAACAAATAAAAGATTTTACTGTGGGTTACAATTGGTGGGCGTAAAACCATAGTCACCATATTCAAGACACGCAAGGATAAGCAGATCCCCAGAGGTGTCCAAAACACAAGTCAAAAACTAGTGATAAGTACCTGAGCCCAGTTTTCCCACAAGCCATGCAAAAAACCATCAATGTCCAGTGTAGTACATTTCACTTTATGAAAAAGACTACATCTTTAAAGTCTGAGGAAACCCAGTGAGCAGATTAAATGTTTTGGTACCCAGTTAGTGCAGGGACAGTAAAGTATTTTGGTCAGTGATCAACATGTGCTCCAACTGAATTCATGAACAAGGTTCATAACAGGGCAGGAGTACATGCTCGAACAGGCTTGGAATGAGACCATAAATTGTGGTGAGTGACTTTTGTTTCATCTTGTCTCAAAATATGTAGTCTCTGAGATCACAGACTGATAAGTTAACTACTATTTTCATCGGTAAAAAAAAAAGGAAAAATAAAACAAAATAAAATAAATGAAACAAAGCGAAAGTGTTAAAGAAGGACTTTACCCAGCTAAATTAAAATACATATTCAAACACCACTCATTAAGCAAGTCTGTAGCAGATATTTAGTTTTGCAGGAAGCTAAAACTTCCTGACAGACAGAAAAGACAATGGACAGAACCTTTATTTAAACCAAAGAGACACCGAATGTTAGCCCATCATGCTGAATTAGAAAAGCACAAAGACAGCAGCAATAGTATGTCCAAATCTGGACGTACTCATAAGGGGTGCTGCAGAGGGCCTCCGGGCTTCTGTAAAGAAAATGATAAATGAATGAAAACAACATTTTTTGAGTCCACACTCAGATATCTACTGCTTACTTCACCAATCTTTGTCAGACATATTGTAGACTACTGTCTAACAATGGAAAGTGCTTTCACTCCTCTGTTTTAGACTAATGGAAACTGCTTAGTCCATCCTAACAGTAAAAAAGCTTGTACTTTCCCATCATGAATAGCATGGCCACTTGCCAGGTTTGCTATCTGCCTTCATCCATTGTATGTTAATTACCTTTTAGCTCGTTATTGTTCACAGAAAGCCAATGATGAAATCCCACACAACAAATGAGAACTGCCAGTCTCGAAATCTCACATTTGGAAATTCATTTCACGATAAACTTTTATTGTAAGTCATAGTAATCAGTAAGACTGCAAGTCACTACTGACGACTGTTTACCACAGGTTAAAGGATAGGTTCAAAATGTTTCAAGTCTGTCTAAAATCATATATGGGCACCTGTGCCATTAAAGACTGTGACTACATCCCTTCCAAACAAAAAAAGAGTTCAGCGCTGCTGCCCAAAAGCTTGGATGTTTGTTAAGCAAATGATATGTTATCATGTGATGGCTGCGTAGGTGTAGTTTAAAAGTGGTGAAGGTGATGAAGTCTTGTTCTTTTCTAAGAAGCAGGAAGTACTACATCAAACTTGCAAAACCTGTTCATCTTTCTTGCAACTTTTTTGTGTTAATACTCAATGCTTATTTGTTCATATTGACCAAAAGCCAGATGAGGGCTTGTGTGGGTACTCACGTTGAGATCGCCTTCTGTACAACAGCAGTGCCATCAGCAATCCTGTGATCAGTGATCCAATGACCACCAGAGGAGCAACTATTTTGGAGGCTGTAGGAAACCCTTCTGACTTTTCCGGATCTGAAAAAAATCAAATTGAATAATACAGATTTAATGTTCTAATACTTCAAGTTGTGACCAAAAAGAGTGAAAGTTCCCCCTCTAACACACCAGTTTTTTTGGTAAAGAATAAATGGTACTCATCCTCCCTTGCCATTTTTTGCAACCTACTTTCACTTTGTCAGGACATCAGCCCTGAGTTAATAAACTAGCCTTGAGGACCAAGCAGAATGTAAACAAGAAACAAAATGGCAGGCGGCACTGGTGTTTCAACAGTGTCACAGATGGTTCAACTAAACATACCGATCACCTGATAATAAATTACCTTTTGTGGAAAACATAGATAACAGCTCAGCTAGTCTGGCGTGATTGCGAAGTTTCCATGTGAACCAGTTGATGAGTTTTTCTATCAATGAGAATAAATTGTGTAGTTCTACAGAAGCGTTACCTGGTCTTATCAGGTAAGAGATACTGGGTCAGATTTAGAGATATGTCGCAGCCTGGCTGTTCAGTTAGCTGTGTAACAAAACAACTACAACACACACGGTGGTAGTCATAGATAAAACATACATACTTTAGCTACAGTATGTGGGGGAACAAATTGATGGCAGTGTACAAAACCTCAAATTTTTCTGCAATGTCTTCATAACAAGTTCCTGTTCTTTTGTGATTCAGTGTTAACACAATGTTTTCTTTTTTTCATACCCTACAAGCTCCTTAAGACTTTTGTTTTCACCCTTTGGTTTCTGTCGTGAAAATCCAGCCCTTTACAATTTCTCACTACCCAACAAGAAACATGCACTACAGTTGGCTGTAGTGCATGTGGTTCAAGTTCCTCTTTGGTGAGCATTCCCTAACAAAGCTGTGCTTATGTAACTGTAGTAACATCCGTGTTGCTTCAAATTTCAGGCAAAGGATGACTTAACTTTAATGGAAATGACTGTATGACATTTCATTCAAGCAGGATTAAGCCATAAGGCCTAACAAAAGGTTGTACAACAACATATACCTGGTGGCAGTTCATATGTGGCCTCAAACTCTTTGCCTCCACTGGCGTTGAACACTACGCAGGTGTACTTGGAGAAAATCGACCCTCGCAGCAAACTCAGCTTGCTCGAGAGGTGAAACAGACCGTTTTCTGTCAGGTTCGCCTCCATTTTAGAGCTCACTGTCCACTCTTTGTTGTCCACATCAAACCACCGAAGTTGACCTTTTGGGTAGCCACCACCAGACTCACATGTCAGGGCACCGTCTGTATTGAAAGTCATTTTCACAGGCGTGGATTGTATAGTAGGTATGCTGTATTTGGCTGCAAAGAGAAAATAGAAAACAAACGTGAACACTACCCCATGACAATCAATCAAATGACAGCAATAAAGTACGACACAATGATTTGCTGACCATGATATTTGACAAGTACTATGAAGGATAATATGTGGCTAGCAAGACAAAAAAATTAAGAAACTTGCTACCACCACAAGTATTTGTGGATGTGATTACAGAATGAATGTCAGAATGAAACAGAAAGTAAGTATAGAAACACAGAGAGACAGCTGATACCGCTTTGGGAAAATACCAATCTGAGAAGCCAAGAAAGTCCCCCGATCTCTAAACAATCTTCATTCCATCATGCTACAGTTAAATCTTTCAGCAAGTCCATTTTTTTTGTGTAACTAGAATGTATAAATGTTCTCGGACACAACTTTACTCATCATGTAGTTATGAAACGAGTTTGTAGGGATTGTGTTTGTGTGTGTTCAGGGTCGTCTGTCTGTGGCAAAATGTTTCAGTGGTCGACCATGGCTGAAGGCTCTCACCTGTGACTCTAAGTGTGGTTTCACTGGAGTCATCACCACTGTCTGTTATGACCTCACATTTATAATCTCCCTCGTGGTCCACAGCAGTGTTGGTGATGAGCAGAGACACGTTCATGTTGCTCTCGTTCCAAGATGGTTCAGCAAACGAGTAACCTGGCTCTGGCGTAGTTTTCCCGTTGTGTAAAAGCAGCACTGTCTTGTCACCTTTCTTCCAAATGACCACCCGGACTTTTGCTTCGGTTACTTCTTTCCCGGTCAGAATAACACACTCCAGCAGGGACTGCTGTCCAAACTGTCCCTTGCTTTCAGGCTTGCATTTTACATTTATGAAACCTGTAGAAGAAAATATGTTTTTTTAATGGATGAGAAGATACACCAGGAGCAAGCAGCATCTCATGCTTCCTCTCAGATTATGGTAAAACTTACCTGCATTTCCTGAACTGATAATGATGACAGTCAAAATAAAGAAGAGGATACCAATGGAGGCCATGTTAATTTACCTGAAATGATAGTTAAAAGAAAAAATTCTTCATGTGGGAATTAAATACACATATTTTAACTCATGGGGGATCTATTTCTATGAATCAAACCGCAGGGTGCAATGTTCAGTCAAGTGAGCTTTTGGTATATTTGTGGCCAGAGGTGTACAGCACCACCTGGGGCTTTATTATCATGCATTAGAGGTCAGTGTGTTATTAACCATTAACACCTTTGCTGCAATAAACAAAATAAAAGTTATATTAAATATGTCATCTGGTGTTTTGCAGGTTGTATATTTTTATACATACATTTCCTAAATAATTCTTGTGTTTTTTTCATTGTATAAACTGGCAACTACCTGTTTTATAACAAACTCTCTAGGCACACCACCACAAAATCTTACCACCAAAATTGTATTATAACAGACATATTTCTGCTCTATGTCATGAGACAGCAAGATGTCCACCTTAATGGCCATTAAGAATGTGGTGCTTATGCCTGACTCATTTCAAAGAAGACTTGGACATGTTTTGTAACTGTTGTGCTGGCTGCACAAGATTACTTAAGTTACCAGTGGATCTGATGTATATCTTGGTGGCTTTGCAATATCACTCAAATCAGGGACTGTAGATGGAACCCTTAACTGCTGCCCTCAGATAACTGTATGTGTGGAATCATCAGAGGCCTTCATCTGTTGTGGATGACAGATGCTGTAAAGAACTAATTTTTTTTTGTCCTGTAACTAACTGATTTTTTATATGCAATTACAAAAGCCTACTTAGTGAAGTAAATATGTATAAAAGGGGTTTATGTGACTTGAGGAAGGTTTGTTTGCCTCCAACAATGAAAGCGATGACAATATAGCAACAGATGTCCTGTGAGTCACGCACATGTTGATCTGGTTTGAGCAGGCAAGCAGCAGACTTTAGCCAAAAGTGATCAATCTTGGCAGCAAAATGTAAGTGTGCCCCCTGCTGTGGCAAGTCAGCAAAACATGAAACTGACACAGGGGGAAAATGCCACATATACTGGCGCAAAACTGTTTCCTGCAGTGTGTTATAGTGTAGGCCAGCCACCTCACATGGAACAAAGACCCCCTCCACTGACATCATCCAAAACAAGGATATCAAACATTAACCTTCAGGGGGAAAGAGTAGTGGAAATATTTCACACAGCGTGGTTATTATTATCATTAACTACACTGATTACAACTCAACAAGTTGCAGACCACTTTGGCTAAACCATTTCCTGGGGCAAACACTGCATTGTATGCCTGCACAAAAATAGAGCGAGAGTATAAGCTTTACAAGGAAATAATGTTGTTTTCACATGTCAAAGGTTTAACTTGTTATTTAGCTGAGTGTTTGAAAGCACTCATTTTCATTGGACCATGACCAATGACACCAATTAGTGAACGAACTATTTTAATTTGAACATTTGTAGCTCATCATCTAGCATCAACATGACTTGGTCTGTTCTAAACTGAAGGTGAAATAATTTCTTTCAAAACACAGAAAGCTTTTAGAGTAACTGCAAAGTAGACCTTGCATGGAGATGATCCCAATTCTCAAATTGATACTTAAATAATTTAAAAGTTAATTTGAATTTACTTTGAACAAAATGGTTCTTGTTGTGTCACCATGGACTGATTTTCTTTCACGTACAGCCGTCAGTGGCTTAGCTTGTGCTGACCGCCGAACGCTTGTGATATCTTTTTGTTTCCTTATTCCCTCAAGCAATTGGAAATAATCTCATAATCTGATCTCTATAACTAGGTCTCTCTTCTCACTTCTGTTCTTTTTGTAACTTGACTTCAGTTGCCTAACATGGGTGAAAACCATGTAGACTTTTCATGCATGTATGCTTTTGTTTGTTTGTTTGTTTGTTTGCAGTTCTCAAAGATATCACAGTTGTTATTCAATGTTCCATTTTATTTTTGTATTAAATGTCTTAAAGATTATTAGAGCTGCAAAGGATTATAGATTAGTTGTTAACTATTAAATCAACTATTTTGACAATCGTTTCATCGATTCAAAATTATCTGATTCCAGCTTCTTAAATGTGAATATTTTCTGGTTTCTTAACTCCTCTATGACAGTTAACTGAATATATTTGGGTTGTGGACAAAACAAGACATTGGAGGATGCCATCTTGGGCTATGGGAAACACTGACTGGTGATTTTTACATTTTACATCAATTAATCAGGAAAATAATAATAATCGACAGATTCAAAATAATCAATAGTTTCAGATTATGCTCTGTAAAATCCTAGCAGGCTAAAGTAAGACACTAACGTTAAAAATAAGTACTGTAGTGTGTGCACATTAAAACAGCTTTCTATTAGTCTAAAAACAAATATGTTTATCTTATCCATCTGTATTCTGCTGTATTGTGAAAGGTGTGAAACAATGATCTCAGACACAGTTTTTACCAAGAGACATCCTTTCTCCAGTGACTGCAGCTGAGCCGGACATTAAAAGGAAGTAGGGTCTCCAGAGAATTCAATGTTCTGTGTGTGTGTGTGTGTGTGTGTGTGTGTGTGTGTGTGTGTGTGTGTGTGTGTGTGTTCATTTTGTGTTTATTTTAATAGGAATAAATGCATTAGCATTAGGTAGTCAATAATAAACATGTTCCACATAGCTTTTTACAGCCTAAGCTCATTTGTAACGATTGTCCCTTGAGGGGCTTCTTTTAAAAAAAACACAACATACAAAAATAGAAATACAAAATCAGAAAAGATAAGCCAGATCTTAAGTTAAGATATACGATTAGCCATTACTACTTGACTGATCACCTTTGCACATCTGTTTCACCTTGGATTTGAAATGATTCTGTTCACTGTCACTGGTCATATATTACCTTAAGAAGGTTGGCGATTATAGGTGCTAACTGAGACCATGAAGCTGCACAATAACTAATGCAAAAGAATAACATAGAATGGTAAACAGTCTCTAATGAGTCTAAACATATGTAAGTTCTTCAATTTTGTAAATGGCAGAAACCTGTTTGACCGGCTAAGTGTTTTTGTTTTCTTAATACTTGGAATGTCACTTTATCCCACGCATTTGACAAGGAGTCATACTGAAAGAGAAAGTCTACTAAAGTCAACTTTTCATACCATTTGAAATTACCTGTGATGACCCATATGCTCTCTCAGCTGCTTCTCTGTAGTTTGTAATTTCTTTCCAGAAAGACTTCGAGTCATTGATTGTAAGTCAAGAGGAGGTTCACCTCAGCTTGCGTTTAAAAGCTGAACTGCTCGTTCTGTCTCTCTGTTCCTGCAATGAAACCTTAGCTTGTCTGTGTTTTACCTATTTGTGTCTGCATGCATCCCTGGTTACACTGTTGTATCTGTGCAATCACTGTACTACTGTTGGTATTATTGTCACACTCCACTGCCTTCTTGTAAATTGTTGCTCTCACTTTAGTTTATTTATTTGGATGTGTTATCTCCCACTAGGGCTGCAACTAATGATTATTTTTATTGTTGATTAATTTGTTGATTATTTTCTTGATGAACTGATTAGTTGTTTGGTCAATAACATATGAGAAGCATACATCACAGTCCCAACTGTGCCCTGTTACGTCATGAATTGGTATCATTAAGGACAAAGCTTTCCCTAGAGATTTGAAAAGGTCATTTACCACGCCAACACAGAAGGGCACGGACAGCACCCCATGTGATTGTGGGCGATATTTGGATTTCCTTAAAATTACTAAACTGCACACATATGAAGTTCATTTACAACCTACATTCTGGACAATCGGTCACAAAGGGAAAGAAGACAAGCAACAATACAAGCATATTTTGAACACAAGTGCTGTCCCAGTCCGATAATTTATCCACTGCAGCTGTGTAGTGGCGGAGGCATGTCTAAATCTCTTGGCAAAGGCGACCAAAACATCTGCACTCCCACACTACCACGCCAGGATGCAACCCAAAGAAATCTATACAGTACATAAACAGCACATCCTGATTAACCACCAACTGAGACTACAGGTCAGTCCAACCCTGGAGCTATGGATACAAGCTGTCATGTGGGACAGGCCGCAGAACCTGATTGGAAGTGGTTATAACTCCAGTAATATTGTTTTAAACTCAGTGGTCACACGGGATTTGTTCTTTCATATTTCAGTTCTCCATAAAACAACACGGATAACAGAACCCTGGTGGCCTGGCCCTACTGTCCACTTCCTGTCTGAACATTCCAATGGCCCTTTTTCCACTGCAGCTCTTACTGCTTAGTGCCTATGATGTAGGGGAAAGTTGACAATTGATACTATCGCTCCAGCACTACTGGCATTTGACACTTTAAAAATCCACTAACCATATATTGATTGTAGTAAAATAAATTTTTTAAGATCATTATAAATGGAGAGACAGGAGTATGACATACAAGGATACCTCCAACATTTCTAATAAAGCTCCCTTGCATATTTGTATTTTAGAAGAATAGTAACCAAGATATGTACCTGGTCAAATCAATTCTGCCACTGGTCCATTCAATTTCTTGTTACTTATCAGCGAAAATACATGACCAATTCATCTGTGATGAGATAATATCACTTGCTATATTGACCACGGCTGGCATGTTGGCGGGCACAAGTTGTTAACACCGGTCACTTTTTGGACCCCAGAATGTGAAAGGGGAGGTGAGAGAAAGGGTCAGGGCCTTCAGAAACCTTGACATCAAATAAAGACAGTCTCATTACTTTTTTCAGCCATTCACACTGTGTGTACAAGAAAGCAACCCATCTTCCTGCTAAGGAAATGTGAGCATTTTAAGTCAGAAAAAGAGGTTTAAACAGCTGTTTAAACACGTCAGCAAGTGAATCAGTCCTCGCTTTCAACATTATATCATTGTGTAACTTCTGCCAAAACTCTTCAACCACACAGACAGATAAAAACACACTCATCATCACTCAGGAGCCTATCCACCCCTTGCATATGTCATTTAAACTCCTTCAGTCAGGATGTGTACTAGCTAGTTGAATTGCCTTCGTCTGAAGTCAGAGTGTTTTGCACTTTATGCAAAATTTGCACTTTGCTACAGTACTTGTGCACTTTATTTGCTCTTTTATTATGCTGCCTTCCATGTCAGTAATGTTGCAGTTTGCTTGCATCATGGTGTGTCTGCAAGCCTTCTCTACGCACATCTATGCAAAATATTATATCAGCATTCCACTAGTACTGGTTATTATTTCAGATCACCCAGACTTTCACTTTCATTTGATTGTTATGACCTTTTCATAACGTGTGGCCATAGCAATAAACGCAGCTGCTTGATGGCATGCTTTCTCTTCCCTTACGCTTTCTCTTTTTTCTTTACTCATTGAAAATTTCTTTCTTTTTTCTGTTTCGTTGTTGAGTGTTAGAAAGTATGTGCTCGGGTTGAATCAACAGGTTTGGCGCATGTCTACAAGCGCATGCTCAGATCAACCAACAAAACTAACAGCAATTTGACAGATTACACCTATCAATTACGTTTAACGCTGCTGCGGTGTATATGGAAATATCGCATGTATATCAATGCGACGTTTAGTCTTTATTGCGCTATGTTTTGAGGTGGTGATTGCGCAATGGACAAGACACATGCGAGAGACCCGGGTTCAATCCCCCACTGTGACTACCATTCTACCATTGTGTCCCTGAGCAATAGTTGCTCAGAGGGCCTCTGAAATGTATAGTAAGTCGCTTTGGATAAAAGCGTCCGCTAAATGAATATATGCAAAAGGGGAAGCGCTGTCATAACGCCACCACTTTAAAATTTCCTTAAGGGTTTCAAGTGCCCAAACTATTTAGTCGTGTGGTACAGGATACATATGGATCACTTATAGTTGAGCACAAACTGCGAGCGAAAACTCCACTGAAGCCGCCGAGTGGATATGCTAATGCTGTATGCTGACTGTAGCGCCTGACCAATACAATGATACAGGAAGTAGCTAGGCAACTGCATTTCAGAGATCTAAAAAGGTAACATAATAATACAGAAAAGTTAAAGTATACAATGATATGTAGGTTAACTTAACGTGAAAATATGTATGTTACACATCTGTTCCCTCTCCACTAAACTGTAAGCTACACACCGTGTATGACAACACGCCGAGCTTTAAGGCATGTCACACAGACTGTAACGATCATACCATGTTAAAACTCACCTGACACGCTCCTCTACATGGACACCACGACGTCTCCCACTGAAGACGTGTTGAACCTATAACTGAACAGCCGACACTGTAGTCTTGTTAATCCGGCTTCTTCTTTCTTTCACTTTCATTATGATGTCGACACGTTTGGTTGGATGGATCTGTGCCAGAGAGAATAGCATGGAGGCACAGCTCTCTATAAACCAAACAAGTGACAAAAGAAACTTACTGCAACTCATTCGAAAGGTAATGAATGAGAAAGGTATTTGGAAAAAACACTGCCCAATATAGTTCGCTACAGTATTTGCATCAAACTGTAAAAACAAACATTACACGACATACGTTGTAGGTATTATCCAACTCTGTTAACTAGGTTCTTGCCACTTTCCCTGTTCTATTTTTTTTCTGTTTTCTCTCATATATATATATATATATATATTTGTTTGTTTGTTTTGCATACATGCATTTGAGTGGCTCCCCTCAGGATGTCAGCTGCGCTGTCCAGGCTGCAGAACTCAGGGCAACCTTTGTACCCAAGGCTGTTAAGCTCCCAAACTCCTAACCATCCCTGAACTCCTTAACAAGCACACACACACTCACTTAGAGCTGCATTATGCTTTCAATTTATAAACACTACAATCCTCCTATACAGTACGTGAATTACTAACAGGGCTTGACATTAACACCTGCCAACCCGCCAAATGCTGGTGGATTTCAGCCATGGCGGATTAACAGTCACTCCCAATAGCCACTTTGGCGTGTTACGACACTACAAGTCCCATGAACACGACCTGCACATAGTGTTTGCTCATTGGTCCATTCGTGAAGCATATTGTCTTGATCGACAACACAAGTTGACGCTGTGGAGATTAAACAAGCGTACTGGCCACAGTAATATGGGCCTACTGGACATATAGTCCATGGTACTGGATAGGTTCTTCTTAGTCAGGTGCCCATATGGACGGATATGGACATTAAAAGTTTTTGCTTACTGTAATTAGTCCTTTTGCTCATACTGGCCATTGCCAATGAACCCATTGCATTTTCGATGTAAGTAACAGGGGCCAAAATCTACAGTCCTTGTGTGCAAAAATGTGTTCAAATATTTCTGTGAGTCAGTCAAATCAAGTCAGACACAGTAAACACAACAAACGGTCAAACTTGATTTTTAATGTTCATTTCCACTTGTGCCATTTCTTTACTTCAAATTTCTGCAGTGACTTACATCCAGCAACAGGAATTGGTATAGGATGCAAACAGAATCGTCTTGCATCATAACGCATGTTAAAAATAGACACCACAAGAGTTACATTTCATGTCCCGGAAATGTAGGCTCTGGTGCATGACAGCTGGCTGACACAGCAGCCACACATGGGACTCAACAAGACAGAAGCAGGAGGGAGGTTGTATTTTGGTTTAAATAATGTGACATGAAATGTACAAAAAAAAACAAAAACTGTTCTACATTTCCAGCGAGCATGATCATTAAAAGGTGGAAAAGAGGGTAAAACATAGGAGAAAAAAGGCTGAGCAGTTATAAGGTCACTTTTCAAATCTAGGATGGGTTTACCAAAAACACTCAAGTGTCAGGATCAACAACATTCTATTAACCTGCAATGGGAAAACTACGTATTGGTGTTACTGGTAGGATGTAATAGGGAAAACCCAACCTTGTTTGATGTTGTAGCCTAACACACAAACAGGCATACTTTATTGTTGAGGAAATTTTAACTATAAAAACACAGGGCACTCAAAACCGGCACTGGGGTTACAATAATCTAAGGTTGGTGACCACAATATAAAAAAGCCTTATTCCAATTTGTTTACATGACATGGGACCTACAGTACTCATCTGAAGACAAATGTTTGTAATCCTTCAGATCACAATGACAGTAACTTATGTGGCTCCTATTTGGCTCCTATGTTTATAATAATAATATAATCAGTAGAAAGATTCCAACTTCATGCAACAATACAACAATTATTCCACAAAAAACAACAAACAAAGTTAAATTAAAAAAACTTCACAGTTATGTTCCTTCTCACATTCATACATTACAGACCAGACGTGCATGCAAGATGGGTCAAAACTGAACACAGTGCAAAAGCGACAGCATTTTTCTTTACTTGTGTTTTAGAAACTGGTCATGTGTAATCACCTACAGTTTGTGCTGTCACATTGAAGTTGGGGAGATATGAGAAATGTGATCTTTGTACCCTTCCTAGCAGGTCTAATGCATTACAGGGACAAAGGCAGACTTTGAACCATGTAATTAGAAATACATAAAGTGCTTCTGTCAAAAACAAACAAATAAACAATAAAAACAGTACAAAACAGTTTTCAAAAAAGAGGTATCAAAACAATGCACTTGGGGTTGTGGAGGAGTCTGGTGTCTGTTCGACATCAGATAGGATTCCTGTGGTACAGACATATGGGCCGGGTTCCTTGTTTGAAGAAAAAAATAAAATAAGATGAGTTCAGAGATGAGTGGATGTTAGGAGGGGTAGTTGGTTGGGATTCAACCCAGGATGAGGCTGGACTTGCCACCGGGGGGATTCCTGCGGCCGGACGGTAGTCCTGCAGCGGACTCCTCAGCTGGTGGGGCCTCCTCTTGCGGCCCTGGAACTGCTTCAGGCTCAGGAGCGCTGTATACTGAACACAGGCAGAGAGACATCTGATGTGGGTCTGTCATCATATTCTGGCTTTCAGAAGCCTCAGCCATGTGACCTATTTTCCTTTTTTTCCAGCTTTGTTCTTATTAAATGGTCACAGATTTAGATTTATCCGTTTCTCCGCATTGTTTTAGCTACATTGATATTGGTAAAATGCAAACAAGTATGTAGGGCTGAGCAGCCAATCACGGTTATAACCTTATATTTTCCCGTATAATTTTAATACTAAGACTATACATGAACAACTCCGTTTCTTCATTTCCATGTTGTTTATGTGGATCATCTGTTGATGAGGATGCTGACTTTTTGCCTAGGACACAGTTGTACCCTCAGTCTTTCTGCACAATACCATGCCATGTATGTGTTCATCAAACGCATATTGAAGATCCTTTTCAATCTTATCAGCTGCAAACATGTAACGTTTGCCGGAGATAGCTTTATAAGCTACCTAACTAACGATGATAAAGTCAACCAGCAACAGTTTGCAAAAGTCTGGCTGAAAATGAGAAGCTGCTTTTGTCTACCTCTCTCTGAAAATCAATGTCTGCCTATTTTAAAAATGACAAAAAATTTAAGTTTTTAATAATATTACTTTCTTAGACAAGAGAGTGTTAGTATTTGATGGTATATTTTTGTTAAACAAATTTAGATCACTAGCACATTCTTCTTGATATTGTTAAGATATTTACCATCATTCAAAATAACCTAAACCTTCAACATTCAGTAGGCATTATAGAAGGTATAGTATTAAGAATTTTTGGATGTATTTTTTTAAGTGAAAAAATATGGGTATGTATATGTACATACCTATGTCTTATGTATGTATAGAGGTACATATAATGTATGTGCGCATGTACATTTGTATATGTATGTTATATATGTGATATTTATGATGACATCACAAATATGTTCTTTGTAAAATTGGGCCACTATCCCCATCTAATCCTTTTATGAAGGCTTGTCCCTATCTAATCGCTTTATTATCTTTCCTCCTTTATTTTCTTGCAAGTGCAGGTGTTGTACCCATTTTGTAGGGTATCAAAGTATAAATCTGGGTGAGGTGAAAAAAGAAGGCTTACCATTATCGCGTATAGAATTTTCTCCATCCTAAAACGAAAAGCAGAAAACAAGTTTTAAGTATTTTATTAGCCTTAAAATATTTAAAAACCAAACAGGAAATTTTGTACTACGTCATCAGTCTTAATGGGAAAATAATTAATGATAAAATGGGTAACTCAAATCAAGCAATCTGATTGGTTCATAGTAGTGACTGTATACAACGGGTATGACGTCGAATTCCTTTGCACAGATCCATATCACTGCGACAAACAGGGTTCGAGTTATAATCTGAGCTTTGTGGGGGTCTCACGCCCCATTTACACCTGGTATTAAAATGCAATCTGATACATATCGCATTTTTACGGTGGAGATAAATAAATAAATGAATAATGAGAGAGTGACTGAATGAGTGTGAGAGAGGGGGACAGAGAAATTACTGCTTATTACGTGATTCAACATTTCTCACACACACACACCCACCCACCCCACAGTCCACTACTTGCCCCAGATGTCTGCGATATTTCAAACAAAGTTTAAGTTTCAATAGCCTGTTTAAAAGGCTACTGCTCAAGGAGAAGATGCAGAGAAAAAACATAGATACTAGTTTAGATACCACAGGATTTTTGGGACTGTGGTGGGTGGACCTCGCACCCTCAAGGTGGGTCTAAAAGAAAGTTTTGTACATTTAAAGCATTTTCAGATTGAAATTCACCACTATCATATATTAGGATAGCTGTACATGTGCATTTGTTATGATAACATTACCTATGATTAAAAACTACATCTACAAAAACTACAAAAAACATCAAGCAAGTGTGACACAACACAAGACATGGCAATTTTGCTTACTAGTCCAACTGTGTACCAAAACGAATGCCAGCTCTGTGTCTGTCTCGCAGCCTTTTAATTCACGAAACTCTCAACAACGTACGGCAGCCTCTTGCTTGGTCACTTTCTTTTTCTCTTCTCTTTTGTCAATGTCTTCTTCGGTTTCTTCGCTTCTGCCATTAGCTAAAGTAATGTCTTAACCCAGCATCCGACACAAGTAAAGTTACATATTTCCGAGTGTGTTATCTAGTAACTCAACTCAAGTTTTTAGATAGTGGCTAAACCTCTGTCTGTGGAACCTCCGTTTGCTCAAGTCAACAACTATGCTAACACAGCCAAACATCAAGCAAGAGCAACACCACAAGATATGGAAAGCCAACTAATAAGTCATTACTGACTAGTCTAACAGCAAGAAGGCCAGGTCGGCATCTGTCCTGCTTCCTTTCAGCTCTTTTAGCTCACACCAACGAGTAAAAGCCAATCTGATACTGATACTCTTTTTCGCTCTCTTGCTCGGGCACTCTCTCTTTTTCTCTTCCTCCAACATCATCTTCAGTCTGCTCGCTGACCCTGCCATGATATCCATACTTACCGAGCTAGTTTCTTTGAAAAAAACTTACATTGCACAAAATATACTTTTTGCTTGATGTCTGTGAAAGTTCTTAGTCATCTAGGTCATAGTTATCCAAGAAAAGTTAAACTCAAGGGCAAATGGACTCGCTGAAAATACTTATTCCTTATAGCTCTTACAGCATTGCGCATTCACAATTTACTATTAGTTTAACAAGTGCACTGTGCAGACAAAGCAGGTGGAAATATCGCTTTTCTACTTTTTTACGTTCCCTTCACCTGGTTCATAGTTTTCATCGTGGCCCCTCTGCTTTATAGGGGGCTGGCCATGGATAGAGAGAACTAGGTACAGAAACTGAAACTGTGGCTGGACAAACTAGACTGTGATGGTGTGGGAAACACAGCATACTCTAATGTGACCTATAGTTGCTTCCCTGTATCTTTGTCTACTCTCAGGTTTCACTTTATTTGGTCCTTCCACAATCCATGATCGGAGGCATGATCTTACTGTGGTGGGGGCGTCTGCAGAGTTGTTGGTGGTCGAGTTCCCCCCTCTCCTCAGAGGGGCTGACGACTCACCACACAGCACACCTGTGGGCTTCCCACCTGGAAGAACAAGGAGACATAATGGCTCAGACAGACAGGCCTTAACAGATGAGGTGCAAAGACAGAATCAAACTTTGCATATTTTTACATAGTCATGTAGATGTCATGACATACGTTCTGCCAGATATTTACAACATTGCATTTTCTTATCCAAAATAAGTTTTGCACCATCTTTTATTATTATTTTTGTGATACTGTGGCATTCCCACATCTCAGCAATTACCTTTGTAGCATACAACATTATTATTACTTTAGATCCTAATTTTAAGATTTAAAATCATATTGTTATATTTCACTTTAATGAAAACTTAGAAAAAGTGCAATTGCTCAGAACTAAGGGCAGTGTATGACCTCAAATGTGATGGCAAAGACTGCTGTTTAAATGAAGGAATGATGTTGCAGAAAAATGTTAATGCTAGAAAAGGTAGTCCATATGAGACAAAAAGTCCAACTGGGATCTGATCTCTCTCTCCTGATGTAAACATCTGCAAACTGTTCAGGCTATGCAGGGGGTGAGATTAAACATTAGTTGAGCCAAATTGCTAAAATACCAAATTGTGGTTGGTGGTTGTTGGAACAGTGGAAAGACTAACAAAGATCTGCAAGGCAAAATTTTTGCTGTTTATTTTTTCCAAAGCAAACTGGTGGCTAGTGAGATCGATATAATGGCTGCTTCTGGCTACATACAAAAGCTCTTAATGTTCAACAAAAAGGTCTCTCTCTGTGGGGATCCTTTCAATAACATTGTCATATTGCACTTTTAGTGGACTGTGAAAGGCGCAATTTTCCCCAGGGATTACGCTGCAGCCATTGCAGCCTATTTAGTGTCCGCTGGCTGAGGTATAGAGCCAGGACATTTCTGTGAATTAAGGCTTTATTTCAACCAAACCAAAGTTGGTGACTACTCTTCTGTGCTGTGGTTTGGACATCACATGATAACAGGAAATATATTTGTTGTACAGGCTACAATCTTGAAGAACAGGGACTTCCCAAAAATTAAACATATCTGGGGAAGTTTCAGTCAAAGGGAAATGAAGGTCCTGCAAGAGGGAAAAACCCTGACTATTCAACTGACATCAACAGCATGCCGGAGTTTTCTTTTGTAAGCGGGCTACTCCTACAGATTTCCTCCTACATTTTGGAAATTTCACTTTCATATTAAATGTCGTTCTAACAATAACACTATTAATAATGATTCTGATCTATAACAAAATAATCCAGTCACATCCTGCTGTGTAGGCATCTTCCTTTAGTACCCCAGGCTGTTTTGCTTTGCTTTCATTTTCAATCCCCTTGTTTGCAGGCCGGCTGGCACTTTGCATGTCACACAAATCTTAGCATATCTTATTTTCAGAATAAGTAAGGCTACTCAGAAATGCTATTAACTGGCATGTGAGTGGGACTACATGAGCCAGGGCACTTTTTGGGGAAAAATGTTTTATGAAATAGTTTCATTTTCTGACCATGTCCAATAGTTACATCACAAAGCCAATATCTGGATATTGATAGAGGTATATGCAGTGTTTCTGTATTTTGTTGTGTTTTCTGACTTTGCAGCATTGTTCCTAAATGCTGTGCATGTGTTGTCAAATCGGTGAAGATGTTTTCTTAACTTGATAGTTCTAGATCTATTTGCATGTGTTTTCTCTCTTGATAGAGTATAGAGTTCAAAACTAAATAAGTTCATTTTCTCAAGTACTGTTAAGTAATCATGTTTTACATTACTATTTCATTGAGATTTTTTAGTTATATACATATTGTAAATTTTCAGGAAAATACTGTACATTTTATTTCACTATATTTAGCTTCCAGCTGTAGTTTGTATAGTTTGAAGAGTAGCTGCGTGTACCATCTGCGTGAGCATTCAAATGGGCAGCTGAGAAGAAGCCCTCAAGATGTTCTTATTTCAGACCGTCCAGGCATAGTGTTCTGATATCATGTACAGATGGTTCCCCAGGCATTGGCAAAAGAACTTTTTTTATGACTGTTTATATGCTGCAGTATAGTCACATTTTGGCAGAGAAAGACAGAATTCTAACATGGTTATTCAAGGTGGTTAAAATCAAGGGCAACTAGACTTGGTTGAAGATACTCTAAGATGTTTTGTCTCTCCAGGAACCATCACCTTATCGTGGTGGAGAGGTTTGCGTGCCCCAGTGAGCCTGGAGGCTGTGTTGTCTGGAGCCTAGTGCTCCTGGTAGGGTCTCCCAAGGCAAAGTGGTTCCAGGTGAGGGGCCAGACTGACAATGGTTCATAAAGACGCCTGATGAAATTGCGAGGAAGAGGGGGAGAGACCCTACCCGGAGGAAGCCCGAAAAAGCAACATGGCATCCCCCTCTCCATCCTTTGGACCCACCATCCATCGGAAGATCCGCAGGGGTCGGGTGCGCTGCAATTGGGGTGGCGGTGAAGGTCAGGGGCCTCGACGGACCAGACCCAGGCAGCAGAGGCTGGCTCTGGGGACGTGGAACGTCACTTCTCTGTGGGGGAAGGAGCCGAAACTTGTGCGGGACATGGAGCGCTACCAGTTAGATCTGGTGGGGCTGACCTCCACGCACAGTTTCGGGATGGACCCTCTTCTTCTCTGGACTTGTTCAAAGTGTGAGGCGCCAGGCGGGTGTGGGGATAATCACAAGTCCCCGGCTGAGCGCCGCTACATTGAAGTTTACTCCGGTGAACAAGAGGGTCGCCTCCCTATGCCTTCGTGGGGGGGGGGGGGGGGGGGGGGGGGGGGGGGGGGACTGACTTATTTGTGAACAGCGAACAGCTGAGCCATAAGGCAAAGCTCTCGATCTACCGGTCAATTTCAGTTCCTACCCTCACCTATGGTCATGAAGCCTGGGTCATGACCGAAAGAACGAGATCGCGGGTACAAGCGGCCCAAATGGGTTTCCTCAGACAGGTGGCTGGTGTCTCCCTTAGAGATAGGGTGAGAAGCTCGGCCATCCTCGAGGAGCTCAGAGTAGAGCCGCTGCTCCTTTGCGTTGAAAGGAGCCAGTTGAGGTGGTTAGGGCATCTGGTAACGATGCCTCCTGGACGCCTCCCTAGGGAGGTGTTCCAGGCACATCCAGCTGGGAGGAGGCCTCGGGAAAGACCCAGGACTAGGTGGAGAGATTATATCTCCACACTGGCCTGGGAATGCCTCGGGATCCCCCAGTCAGAGCTGGTTAATGTGGCTCAGGAAAGAGAAGTTTGGGGTCCCCTGCTGGAGCTGCTGCCCCCGTGACCTGACCCCAGATAAGCGGATGAAGATGGATGGATGGATGGTTTCGCCTCTTGTCCAAGAGGTGTCTTTAGTTCTGACTGACTGACATGGACATTTAACCTCAGTGGGGTCGTTTTTTTGTGGGGTTGATTTTAACCCTCCTTGGATAACTTTGACAGAGACGACTAAGAATCTTTACAGATAAGAGGGTTATTCACTGAACATGATGTTTAGTGTAAGATTCTGCATATGAAATATCCGGATAAATTAATTCCTAATCATGCTGTCATTTTTAAGTTGGACCAAACCTCGCCAGGGCTGCCATGCCAGTCCAATTGTCTGGATATGCACGAAAGAGCACAACGCAGCCAATCACTGTAGGTGTGTCTTAATTCAAGGGCCCATCCTTCGAAGGATGCATTTGAAGACCGAATGCATCATAGCGGCTAGAATAAGCCGTCCCATTTCGAAAGCTCGGTCAAATGCAGCCTTCTTTTCCTGAATCTGAAGCATCCTCCAGCCAATATCTAATGATAAAACCTCACCTTTTTGTATATATAGACTAACTTATGTGATGTCACCTTAGGGCTGGGCAATAAACAATAATGATAATTATCGCAATATAATTTTCCTCAATAACAATATAATAAATGTTCAATATGTTGTCAATAAATATTTGCTTTAATTCATTTGAATCACAAACAAATTAGCACCTAATATTTCTATAAAAATATTTTGTTGAAAAAGAGGCCTGAAAAAAGATTAACTAATCATATTTGTTGAAATAGTTTTGAATGTTCTAACTCAAGACTTGTGAAGTGATCCACTGTTTGGCATCAAGATAAGTTTAACCACATAATTAACCACCATGTATTCAATTTTCACTCAGGAGAAAAAAAATCTGCCTTTAAAGTTGAATGAAATAATGATTTGACATATTTTGTGATAATTATTGATATCGAATGATATGAAATGTTTTATCGTGATAACATTTTTGGCCATATCACCCAGCCCTACACCACCTATTGCCTCCAACCTGTTATGGCCCTTGAAGCCTTTAAACCCTCCACTTCCAAACTTAAGAGGTTCATAAGTTGACTAATAGGCTTACCGAGATTTTATAGATAATCATGCTATGTAGATAAATGGAGCAGGTGACTTAATTTAGAGAGGCCATGAAACCTTCTTCGTTTTCAGACGAAGTCCAATACAAACATTGGGACTGATTACACAGCTAACCTGAGCGGGGCTATTTTTCTACTTAAGCTGCTTCCGTTTGGTGGTGTGAAGAAAAACCTAGTCTTAACATTCTGTTTTGTTTTGGGGAGCAAGGAGCATTTATTTTCACAGTTAGACCATCTTGTACCGAAGGTTATAGTTAAATTAGCCCTCATACTATACAAAGCCCATAATAATAAGACTAGTAGATGGGGCAATACCCTTTCTTTGTTGTGTTTTTAGGTAGTGCTGTCACCTTTTTTAATATTCCAAAGTGTCAATGGTCGATAAGTGTCGCCCTTTTGTCTTGTTTTTTGGCTGTGATTAAGACAATACTGGAGAAATGGGTCGGCTTGAGAAGATGGTTCCCTTGCAAGCCAAGAAAAAAAGTAAAATAAAAAAAAAAGTATGTACATGTGATTTTGAAATTACATTACTTTAATCATGCAAGTTAAAACACCTTTTCTGAAATTTGTTTAGCTGCTGCTGTTGTTAACTGCCACGATTGATTGCCTCTGCCTTAGGATTGAGTGTGATTGGGAAACCCACCAGTGCATTTTGGCACCTGGTTTGTCCT